CGGATCGCGGTGCTGCGCGCTCCCAGGGAGCGCGCACAAGCAGGGTGCGGGGAGGCAGTTTATAGACGGCCACCCGACCCTGCAGTGCCACCGTCCGGCCGTTTATATACAACGGCCGGTCGGGAAGTGGTTAAAAATGTGTTTTGCTTGATAAGACATGAGGACTGTTAGTCTGTTAGAGGGAGAAATTAGGGGGAGGGGAGTGTTTGTTTTTTTTTTTTGTTTTTTTTTTTTTTTGTGTTTTTTTTTCCCCCTCCTCTCTCTCCCTTCTCTCTCTCTATCTTCTTCGCAGCTATACCTCCCTTTATAGTATGTTACCAAGGGGTCTGTGGAAATTTAGGGAGTTAAAATAAAGGTTGGAGGGTACTGCGGAGGTGGGAGGGAGGAGGAGCTGTCCATGGGCGGAGTTTGACCCCAAGTATTAAATCAAAGGTGGGGATATTTTTTTCGCCCCACAAATGATTAATAGGTATATTAGTAGCCTAAAGATGGGAGGGGGGGTGAAGGTATGGGAGTGGGTGGGGGAGTGGTATTAGGGTCAACACTCTGCAGAAAAGAGGGAGGTATAAAAGCAAGGGAAAAAGAGGAGGAGAGATGGAAGGGAAAAGGAGCGACATAGAGATGGAAGAACTACAAGTTATCACTTATAATGTAAAGGGGCTGAACTGTCCTGGGAAGAGATTTAGGTTATTTAAAGAGCTTTACTATAAAGCAACATCAGTTGTTTTTTTTTGCAAGAGACACATTTTGAGATAGAATCTAAGGTTAAGTTAAAATCTAGATATTATCCAACATGGTATTATGCAGATTCCCCGATTAGGAGAGCGAAAGGGGTGGCAATAGGGTTCGCAAAAAAAAATATAAGGTTTGAGTTGGAGGACAGAAAAGTGGACCCAGAAGGGAGATAGCTGTTTTTGAAGGGTAAATTGCAGGAGGCGGAGTGTACAGTAGCTAACATATATTGTCCAAATAAGAAGCCGGAGATATACTTGAAAGGTGTGCTAAAAAAATTTATGGTTTTTAAAAAGGGTTGTTTGATATTGGCTGGGGATTTTAACTTTTGTATGGACCCACAAAAAGATACAACTTCTTCTGTGCAGCAAGATGGGATAGGGTCTCTGAGACTATTAAAGAAGGCAATTCATGAGTGTCAATTGGTGGACACATGGAGAATTATGCATATGAAAGACAGAGACTATACATTCTTCTCAAACGCACATGAGATCTATTCGAGGTTGGATTACATACTGATAGAACATCGATTTATTGAGTTAATGATTGAAGTAGAAATAGGAACAATGACTATTTCAGATCACGCCCCTGTTGTAGTAAAGATGGGATGGGGAAGGGGGAAAACAGGTGGGGTAGGATGGAAGTTGAATGAGGCTCTTCTCTTGGATAAAGATACTGCACAGATGATTGGGAAAGAAATTGAGAGATATTTTACAGAGAACGAGACAGAAGATGTGGCGATAGCTACAGTGTGGGAGTCTCATAAGGCATATATAAGAGGTATCCTGATTGCGGTAGGGGCAAGAAAGAAAAGAGAGAAGAGAAAAAATTAGTGGGCTCTTAAAGGATGTATTTGACCTGAAACAGATACATAAAAATAGCATAGCAAAAGAAATTAAGCAGAAGATAATGAAAAAGAAAGAAGAGCTAGAGACTTTAATGGAGGAGGAGAGAAGGAGAGTATATAACAAAAGTGCTAAGCGAGAGGTATAGATGGGGAGATAGACCAGGAAAACATTTAATGAGAGCCTTAAAGAAAAATAGGAATTATATAGAAAAAATAAAAAGCACCAAGGGAGAACTGGCTTATTCAAACAAGGAAATCTCAAAGGTGTTTATGGACTATTGTAAAAAGTTGTATAATATCAACCCCCTTGACTCAGTAAAAAATATGGAAACTGAAATCAGGAAAAAAGGAAGGGAATATTTAAAAAAACGCAGGTTTACCGAAATTAAAAGAAGCACAAATAAACGCCCTAGAAGCAGAAATTACACAAGAAGAAATAAAAGCGTTAAAAAGCACAGAGATGGGAAAAAGTCCAGGACCGGATGGCTATATGGTGAGGTATTATAAAAAAATTAGTGAGTTACTAATTCCCAAGATGGAGAAATATATGAATGCTCTGGGAGGAGAGATGGATATGAGGAGAGAATCTCTACAGCAGTGGTTCTCAACCTGTGGGTCGTGACCCCTTTGGGGGTCAAACGACCCTTTCACAGGGGTCGCCTAAGACCATCTGGGAAAACACATATTTCCGATGTGTAGAGAGCAGCTACTGTGTAGAGAGCAGCTACTGTGTAGAGAGAGCAGCTACTGTGTAGAAAGCAGCTACTGTGTAGAAAGCAGCTACTGTGTAGAAAGCAGCTACTGTGTAGAAAGCAGCAGTATTGGAGGTAAAATGACACTTCATGAATTATAATTACTGGGTAAATAAATTTATGGTTGGGGGTCACCACAACATGAGGAACTGTATTAAAGGGTCACATAATTAGGAAGGTTGAGAACCACTGCTCTACAGGCACATGTGGTGTTGTTACATAAGGAGGGAAAAAAACGCTTCACAGTGTTCTAGTTATAGGCCAATCTCATTGCTGAACTCAGATACCATGCTATATGCTAAGGTCTTCGCAAACAGGCTGAAAGAGCTTATGCCAGAATGGATACATAGGGACCAGGTGGGATTTGTCCCAGGGAGGGAGGGTAGGGACAATGGGTTGAGATCCCTGATGCTTATTCAGAAAAGTAGAAAAGGGGAGGTACCGGCGGTGGTTCTTTCGATCGATGCTGAAAAGGCCTTTGATAGAGTAAACTGGAGCTTCATGATGGACACCTTAGAAGCCCTTGGAATCGGAGCTAGAATGAGGGAATGGATTAGAAAGTTGTATAGAGAGCCCACTGCACTTATAATAGTAAATGGGGGAAAGAACAGAGCCTATCGGGATGTCAAATGGAACAAGACAGGGCTGCCCATTGTCCCCCCTTGTTGTATGTTATGTCATTAGAGCCCTTGTCTACAATAAGGAAGAGTAGAGATATAAAAGGAATTCAGATAGAAGCCATAGAGCACAAAGTGGCGGCCTTTGCAGATGATTTGCTATTTTATGTGGGCAATCCCAGGATAACACTTCCAAACCTAATAAGGTCGCTGAAGGAATATGGGGAAGATCCTTAATATAAATATTCCAAAAGGTGAAAAAGAGAAAATACAAAAGGAATTCCCTTTTATCTGGAAAAAAAAAAGATATAAGATACTTAGGAGTAAGACTCACCGCTGCATATAAGTACTTGTATAAATTAAACTATATTTCATTATTAAACAAAGTTAAGGAGGAATTAAAAACATTAAAAAGAGGAATCCCATCATGGATCGGACGTATAAATTTGGTAAAAATTATAATCGTACCTAAAATCTTATATAGATTTCAAATGATCCTTATTAAACTTCCAGATGTTTTTTTCAAGGTAATAAAAAGAATGATAAGATGCATCTGGAGGAATAAAAAACCGAGAGTGTCTTATGGAATATTAAGTAGAGATAAAGAGAAGGGTGGATTGGGAGTTCCAGATATTAAGAGATATTACAAAACAGTAATATTAGGGAGAACTTTTGATTGGACGTTTAATTTAGAGGGGAAAAGTTGGGTAAAAATGGAAAATGCACTAAGTGGAACTAATTTGAATATAATTATTTGGCTACCTGCACAATATAGAGTATTAAAGGATGATGTAAGTGTATACACTTTAAATGTTTTAAGGGAATGGGACAAAGTACACAAATATTTGAAGTGGGAGTTCAATTCTATATTAATGCCACTAAGGAATACAGATTTTTTTTTTTTCCCCCAGGCAGAGAGGAGATAACAGGTAGATGGTTTAAAAAGGAGGATGTTCAACTGAGAGATATATTGGTGGAGGGGAAATTGAAGCCATATAAAGATTTGGTAAAGGAAAAGGGAGAGATATTCACTAGGTTAGATGAGTGGCGTTATCATCAATTACAATGTTTTGTGGGAAATCTTTAAAAACCTCTGAGAATGAAAAAGGATTGGAACTTGTTTGAAAAGTTGTTAGATACACGGGGGGGATGGGAAACATAGCACGGCTAAAATGTATAGAATTCTCACAGAATTAGATACAAACACAAAACCAATGCACATAGTGAAATGGGAAAAAGATATGGGGGTGGTATTAGATGAGGACAAACAGAAAAAACTAAATAGATTGGTGCACAAAAATGTAAGTTTGAGGGATGTAGAAATAAATTTATATATGTTTGATAAGATGGCACATTACACTGTGTGTTGAATATAAGATAAGTGGGGAAATGTCACCATGGTGTTGGTGGGGGTGTTGAGAGTTAGGGACGGTGTACCACATTTGGTGGGAATGCCCAAAAATCCAAGTGTTCTGGGAAAAAATTGTACATTTAATTGAGACCATAACTGAGATAAATATTGGGTTAGATCCAAAGATCTGTTTGTTACATAGGTCAGAGCTTCCAGTTAACAAATATAAGAAATTAGGTTTAGGGTATTATTTAAATGCTGCAAAAAGTCTGATCCCTAAGTATTGGAAGAAAACGGAAGTACCGAGAGAGGAGGATTGGATAGAGAGAGTAAACTGGATTAGTAGGATGGAGAAGAATTACTATATGCAGGAAGATAAGATGGGGATATACCATGCAAAATGGGAAAAATTTTGGAATAAACGGGGAAAAAGTGAAATATAGGATAATATAGAATGAGTGGATGGGTAGGATCTTTCTTTCTTGCTTTAGATTAGAAGATATGAAGGAATGCAGAGTGGGAAGTTGGGAGGGGTGGGTAGGGGAAGGGGAAACGTTTTAAGAGGGGAAAAGAAAAGTAATAAGAAATAACTATGTATATTTGTGATGAAAGTGTTTGTAATTATCTTGAAAAATTAAATAAATATTTAAATTTAAAAAAAAAGTATTTTGCTTTTTTTTTTTTCTCTCACCCCTGTACAGGACTTATCCTCTTACTTTGCAAGATCTTGAAAAGATAGCACAATCTTATCCTACGGACAGTCTTAATTTTAGTATTGTAGAGTTGGAAGCTCAGTGGTTGGATGAACCTGTGGTTATTCAGCAGTCTGTCCAACTCATCTTGGAGAAATCAACGTCAGTAGACTGGATGCTAAGGATGCGTTGGCTGTGCCACTTGGCAAAGGTTCTGCCCGATGAAATGGGTATGTAATTTCTGCTGTGTGCCTTGTCTCTCTACCGATCTCTTATATAATAATATACTATACAGAATATGGTTTAAGAATGTAGCTTTACTGTATATTCAGGAATTTGTATATTCTTTCATATTGACCTTTCTTTTTGTGTGTGTGATGTCTTGCAAACAATGTTTCTGTTGAAATTGTGCAATGACTGTTGGAAAACTTACATTCATTTTTTTTTTTTTTTTTCCCTCAAAATGTGAACAGATCAGATTCAAACAGAGATAGATGCTGGAGCACATGCTTTAAGCAAGTTTTACTCTAGTCCACTCCCTAAAGAAATGAGCAGCGTGATGAAACTCATTCAGACTTTCATCTTAGGTAGGTTGCTGAATAGCATGTGTACATAACGAAAAGCTCTAGTCCAAACAAAAACTTTTCCTTTGGCAGTTGATTTAATCTCTAAATATAATTTGCTAAGATATTATCTGAAGATGTAATGGCTCATCATTTTCAAAGTTGCCGATCCTGTATATCGTTTGTACCTGCCTTTTACATTTCTGGGGGTTTTTTTTAATGAAGGCATTGAGAATCTTTACTCAAAAAGTCTAGGCTCACATCAGTTGTGCAGATGGAATAAACAGTAACTTTTACATAATTGGATAATTAAAGTGAATATTCACTTTTTTGATTTGAAGATTCTCAACTCCCTTAGTGAATCAGCCTTGAAATGGGATTAAACCCATTGATTTAATGGTTTCCCAAAACCTTTACGTTAAAGGCATGCCAAGGATGATAACTTGTCACAGCTGCTAGTGCTCTGAAACAAGCTGTCGAGCTATCAAATGGCTGGTGTCATTACTGATCACATGCAGTACCATGGCAACTGCAGATCAAACAGAGGCTAAGATGGTAGCTTCCTTGTCTGTAAAGGATAGTTTTTTTGCACAAAAAAGGAGTTTGGAAGTTCTGTTAAATGGTCTGTTTTTTAGCAGATCGGGAATATGAGAGCACCTTTATCTGATTATAAATGGGGGGGGGGGGGGGGGTATATGCACTGCTCAAAAAAATTAAAGGATCACTTTGAAAACACATCAGATCTCAATGGGGAAAAATATAATGCTGGATATCTATACTGATATGGACTGAGTAATGTGTTAGGAATGTAAGAATACTCCATCGTTGGATGGAAATGAAAAGGATCAACCTACAGAGGACTGAATTCAAAGACACCCCAAAAATCAGAGTGAAAAAATGATGCAACAGGCTAGTCCGTTTTGGTGAAATTTAATTGCGGCAACTCAAAATGGTACTCAGTAGTCTGTATGGCCCCCACGTGATTGTATGCATGCTTGACAATGTCGAGGCATGCTCCTGATGAGATGGATGGTGTTGTCATAGGGTATTTCCTCCCAGCTCTAGACCAGGGCATCACTGAGTTCCTGGACATTCTGAGGTACAACCTCGCGTCGTCGGATGGACCAACACATGATATCCCAGAGGTGTTCTATTGGATGTAGGTTAGGACAGCGTGGGGGCCATTCAATGGTATAAATTCCTTCATCCTCCAGGAACTGCTTGCATACTCTCGCCACATGAGGCCATACATTGTCGTGCACCAGGAGGAACCCAGGACCCACTGCACCAGCGTAGGGTCTGACAATGGGTCCAAGGATTTCATCCCGATACCTAATGGCAGTCAGGGTGCCATTGTCTAGCCTGTAAAGGTCTGTGCGTCCCTCCATGGATATTCCTCCCCAGACCATCACTGACCAACCACCAAAATGGTCATGCTGAATGATGTTACAGGCAGCATAACATTCTCCATACCCTTTCACATCTGTGTTTAGGGTGAACCTGCTCTCATCTGTCAAAAACACAGGAAAGCACAGGGCGCCAGTGGCGGACCTGCCTATTTTGGTGTTCAGTGGCAAATGCCAATCAAGCTCTATGGTGCCGGGTAGTGGGCACAGGGCCCACTAGAGGATGTCGGGCCTTCGGGCCACCATAATAAAGTCTGTTTCTGATTGTTTTGTCAGAGACATTCACACCAGTGGCCTGCTGGAGGTCATTTTGTAGGGCTCTGATAGTGCTTTTCCTGTTCCTTCTTGCACAAAGGAGCAGATACTGGTCCTGCTGATAAGGTCATTCTACGGCCCTGTCCAACTCTCCTACAGTAACTGCCTTTCATCTGGAATCTCTTCCATGCTGTGCTGGGAGACACAGCAAACCTTCTGGCAATGGCATGTATTGATGTGCCAGCTTGGAGGAGTTTGACACTCCAGTAGTGACACTTTCACTAGTTTTGCATTTGGGTTGGGTCAAACAGTCAGAAAAAATGAGTAGGGAAATAAATGTCATTGCCCTCCACCTGTAAAACCATAACTGTTTTGGGGGTCATCTCATTGTTGCCCATCTAGTGCATCTGTTTATTTCATTAACAACAAAGCAGCTGAAACTTTTTTTTTTTTTCTTTTTCAATATCAGATGAGAATTGCATCCCACTTGATCTCCGCTGGAATATGCAGTTATTGGACTTTGTGAAGCATTACCTTAGCCTTGACACAGGCATGGAACCTGAGAAGGAACTATTTAGCATGCTAGACAATGTCACAAACAGGTAAAATTTATTTGAAATGGTATGTCTTTTTTTTTCTCAATTTAACCGTGCATGTTCGTTGCCAGAATATATTAAATGTATATAATTGTATTGGTAAATTAGAGACCTCTGCCAAAGGTAAATAGCCACACCCCGTCCTGACCATCCTTCCCCTTAAAAAGATTGTATTGCTTGTGTTTAGAACACATAATCTGACTGTTTTTGTGATTGTGTAGATTTAGTTTGTCTTCTAATATGCTCCTAATAAAATGCACACGTGATTTGGCACATACCGTACACTGTATTGCCACCTGCCTTTACACGCACATTGTTTTTGTTTGTTTTTTTTTTTTTTTAAGTCCAAACAACTTTTATTGTCAAGATAATAGAGAAAATGGAACAGTACTTACAGAATCCACAATGACATTACTGCAACAGCAGGATTACACATAAAAAGAATGTGTATATGCAGATCCCGTAATTAACAGAAATGGTAATCAAACAAAACAAAGACCACAAGGATCCAAAACTTTTCTTGACAATATCTTGATTTTTACTTTTTTACGTCTTATTCCTTCCCGACCAGATGTAAACAGAAATGGGGAATGGAGCAAAGCCCAAAACATGTCTTCAAACAATAAAAAAAAAAAAAAAACACAACAACCTCTGGTTCAAGACGTATCGTCAAAAGAATGGGAGATACACATGAACCTCCCCAGGGGGAGGAGTGAAGCCACGCACCTGATATAATATATCACACCTGCAAAAGTTGGTCCACTATCAATTGAGGAGGGGCGAGCCCAGGTGTATCCAGCCAACACTACCATACCTGCTGGAACTTGCAGTAAGCATTGCAATGTTGCTACTTGAGTTTCTCTCGTAGGAGTAAAGAATTAACATGATCTGTCCTTTGATTACTAGTCGGAGGAGCTGGCGATAACCAGTACCTTGCTATCAACTTCCTAGCCAGATATAAAAGTCTAGATACCATAATATACCCTCCTGACTGGAACAGTAAATGTTCCAGTGCCCCACAATGCAAGGGATCCTGGGGAACAGTATATTGCGATAGTAGAGAAATAAATTGGAGAACCTCACTCCAATATCTATGAAACTTGGGGCAACGCCAGAGCATATGAATGAAATCACCCTGTTGGACCCTACACCTTGGACAATCAGGTGAATCCTGCCTGCCACACCGATACAGTTGCTCTGGGGTCCTATATGCTCCATGGTGAATAAACAATTGAGACAATTTATGAGAGGGAGAAAGGAGAAATTCCAGGTCAGCATCCCAGACATCTCCAGCAAATTCTCCAATATCCCAGGACCACTGCGCCCTGCTCCGGAGACTAGCTTGATCCTGTACTGTGGACAATAGCTGGGAGTATACCCTAGAAATCATGCCCTTTTTTATGGGTTGCCTGAGTGACATCCTTAAGAAAAACTTAGTCTGTCAATGTGAGATAAGAGAGTGAAGACTAAGCCTGTATCACATGGCGTAGCTGAAGATAACGCTTATGTGTAAATTCCATTTGCAGTTGAGAAAAGGACTTTAGGATTGCCCCCAAATACAGCTGAGATACAAATTTCAGGCCTCAATCCCTCCAGTCATGAAAAACCTCCAGTTTAGCCAGTTCTAGATATTGTGGATTATTCCACAAGGGAGTACAGGAAAGAAAGCTGGTAATATGAAAGGACGCTTCTACCGTATTCCAGACGCGCCTCAAGAGGTCCGCAGTTGGAGCCATGGATGGAAGGACTGGTAGAGCCATCTCAAGATGAGAAGATCCGAAATGGTGGGATCAAGAAGGGAAATCAAGCTAATAATGGGATCAGTATTATCTGGCGAGTCCCAGCCAACCAGTTGCTGCAATTGGGCTGCCAGAAAATAAAGTCTGGTCTCAGGAACCGCCAACCCCCCCAACTTCTTGACATATTGCAACGTGGACAATTATGGGAAAATTATATAAAATCTAAAGAAGTTGCGGGACCCAAATCATTTTTAATTATATTGACCCTACCCACCACCGACAGAGGGAGTTTGCACCAACTGTTACACTTCAATTTCTGCTGATGGAGTAGAGGGTAAAAGGTTAAGAGAAATATGCTGCTTAGGATCAGGAGAGACTACCACCCCCAAATACTTAAATGTAGACTCTACTTGGATCTGTTGTGCGCAGGTCGGGAGGGGGAGTAAGACCAGATCCACGGGCATCTACACCGATTTACGCCAATTAATTTTAAAGCCGGAAAGCCACCAAAGTGTTCAATAAGGGACATAGCATCTAAGGATGTGGAAGTATGGCCCAAATATAACTGTGTCATCCGCATAAAGGGATATATTTCCCAAAGAACACCCCTTGTAAAACCGAGGATGTCCGGAGATTGTCATACCAAAATCGCTAAAGGTTCTAATGCCAAAGCGAACAAAAGGGGCGAGAGAGGGCAGCCCTGTCTTGTTTCCCTCTGCAGCCTGAATGAATCTGACAAATCCCCGTTAACCCAGATTCGGGCATTAGGGGCCACATAGAGAAGGTGCACCCAGCTAAGGAACTTGGGACCAAAGCCGAATCTAGACAATACTTCCCATAGATAAGGCCATTCCATACCATCAAATACCTTGGCTGCATCCAAAGACAAAATTGCCCTCCCCCAGGATTGTCCATCAGAATTTGCAAATTCGAAAAAAGTCTACAAATATTAGCCATCGCTCTAGAAGGAATAAACCCCGACTGATCTTTATGTACGATATTACCGATAATCCACGCCAGTCTAGTAGCTAGAACCTGGACCAACAATTTAGCATCCATATTCAGAAGGGATATAAGTTGGTTGGAGTCAAGTTATAATTGATCTTTTCCAGGCTTCAATAATACTATAACAGCTTCATTCATGGAGGGGGGCTAACCATTTCCATCCATGGCAGCAATTTTTGTTGCAAAAAATACCGCTTTTTATCTGCCACTTGAGTAAGCACTGATTCATAAAGGGCTTTGGCCTCTTTCCAGGAGGTGCGGTTACAGGGGCTTGGGTCTTGGATCATCTGAACCTCCCGCTGTTGAACATCTAACCGTACCTTTTCCCACTCCCTGGATCTACGCTTAACCACTGAAATCTCTCGGATAATCAAGCCTCGCAGGAAGGCCTTCATCACATCTCAAACCATTCCTGGTGGAGACAAGCCTTCATTCCGCTGCAGAAAGTCTAACAACTCCCCCGGAATCAACTTGGACTCCGCAAACTGTCAACCAAAATGGGTTCACCTTCCACAGAGGACAAGAGTGGGTATAACACGCCTGTAGCTTGACCCAGAAAGGGGCATGGTCAGATAGAGCCCTGGGTTCATACACAGCATCAAACACATATGGCAGGATAGTCATGTTCCCAAAGCCCAACTCTCTGCGTGAAAGCCCATCATGAGTAGCAGAAAAACATGAATAACATTTTGCTGTTGGATACTTCATCCGTTACACATTGCGGAGGCTCAGTTCCACCAATAAATTAGCGAGTGGGTTAGGCTGAAAGGATAATTGTCTGCCCCTACTGCCCAAAGACAATCTATCCAAGCTAGGGAGTAAGCAATTGTTATAATCGCCCAACGCCAATAGGGGAACATCAGGATGATTGGCCATAAATTGAGCTAGGTGTTTAATGACCTCTGAAGAGTAGGGTGGAGGGATATATACCGCATCCACTATGCAGCAAAACCCATTCAAAGTACACAGTAGGAAAATATACCTGCCCTCCGCATCAATCCGCTCCTGTACATGAACAAATTGAGTTAGAGATGAGAATATACACACGCCACTAGAAAACGTGGAGTGGAAAGAATGATATTGTATGGGAAATAAACAGGAGCAGAGGGTACAGACAGTGTCAGATTTCAAATGGGTTTTCTGCAAACATACTACAGACAGTTTTAAATGTTTAAGTACATGGAAGACAGCACCCCGTTTGGTTCTATCACCCAGGCCCCTTACAGGATAAAAAACATCATTTCTTTATGGGAGACAGACATAATACATATGTATTAAATGTACTAAAACTGGAGTGGAAAGAATTTGGAGCAGCTGTGCATAGTAACAAATTATGTTCCATCTTCAGTTTTTTCATTTCAGCTTTGAAAATTAAAGCTCGAAGTTGATTGCCTGTTATGCACAGCTTATCCACATTCTGGATGCTCATGTCTTAGTAAATTTCCCTCATTAATAAAAAGTGTGTGTTTTTTTTTTTTTCTTTTAAATTTTTCTTATTCTGTATCCCCACATAAAACAGAGTGCAAAGATTTGCAAATTTCATAAATTCATATTCACAATAGAAAATAGAAAACCTCAACTGTTTATACTGACAAAATGTACGATGAAAAAAGTAATTTTTAACTGCTTTCCCGCTGCCCTATAGCAGATATACTGCTACAGGCTGGCAGGGGTGCGCAAAATAACGTGTATATATACATGATTTTGCATTTCCGGTTAGGGGGCACGTGCGTGGTGGTAACATCATGTTGTGGGGATGCATTTCTTCACCAGGGGGCAGGGAAGCTAGTCAGAGTTGTTGGAAAGAAAGATGGAGCCAACTGCAGGGCAATCTTGGAAGAAAATCTGTTCGAGTCTGCAAAAGACGAGACTGGGGCGGAGGTTCACCTTCCAGCAGGACAACGTCCCTAAGCATACAGACAGAGCTACAATGGAATGGCCATTCTAACACATGAATATGCTTTGATATAAACCAAGTCAAAGTCCAGACCTAAATCCATTTGAGAATCTGTGGCTAGATTTGAAATTGCTGTTCAGATGCTCTCCGTCCAATCTGACAGAGTTTGAGCTATTGTGCAAAGAAGAATGGGCAAAAATTTCACTCTAGATGTGCAAAGCTGGTAGAGACATACCCAAAAAGACTTGCAGCTGTAATTGCAGCGAAAGGTGGTTCTACAAAGTATTGACTCACGGGGTACTGAATACAAATGCACGCCACACTTTTCAGATATTTATTTGTAAAAATTTTGAAAACCATTTATCATTTTCTTTCCACTGCACAATTATGTGCCACTTTGTGTTGCTATATCACATAAAATCCCAATAAAATACATTTACGTTTTTGGTTGTAACATGACAAAATGTGGATATTTTCAAGGGGTATGAATACTTTTTCAAGGCTGCGTGTGTGTGCTCAGGATAGAAGTAAGATTTTATTCAATCTCTCAGTGGACACGAGCACAATTTCCAAATTTTTGACAACTGTATTTTATAGAACATTTTCTTCAGCTCATTAAATGAAAGTAAGGTTAATAATACAACCTGGATTACAAAATCTTCAGTTTTACTCAAATTAATTGATGCAAAAATGAACACCCCCCACAACAAAAACTACTAGATCTAGTATTTTGTATGACCTCTGATTTGTAAGGACAGCACCAAGTCTTCTAGGCATGGAATGTTGGCAACGTATTGCGATATCTTTTTCCATTGTTCAAGAACAGCCTCTTTTACAGCCTGGATCCTGGATGGAGGGTGATTCTCAACTTATCTCTTCAGACTTCCCCACAGGTGTTCGATTGGGTTCAGATCAGGAGACATCCATGAATCCCTGTTCTTCATAAATGCAACAGTGGCCTTAGATATGTGTTTTGGATCATTGTCATGTTAGAAAAGTGCATGACGAGCAAGGACATGGAGTGATAGTAGCATCTTCTCTTTCAATGTAGAGCAGTACATCATCTGTGAATTCATGATACCATCAATGAAATGCAGCTCCCCATCAGCAGCACTCATGCAGCCCCACAGAAGGACATTGCCACCACCATGTTTCACTTGTAGGCACCATGCATTTTTCTTTGTACTCCTCACCTTTGCAACACCATACAGTTTTGAAGCCTTCAGTTCTAAAATCTTTTTCTCATCACTCCAGAGTACGGAGTCTGAGTAGCCGTCTTATTTTTCAGCATGGGCCCTGGCAAATTCCAGGTGGGCTTTTTTTTTTTTTTTTGTTCATGGGCTTTAGGAGAGGCTTCCTTCGTGGACGACACCCATGCATGCCATTCCTCTGCAGTGTACGCTGCATTGTGTCACAGGAAACATCGCCCCAGTTTGGCTTTCTACTTTAGCTAACTACAGTGAACTTGCATGGCGATTTTCTTCAACCCTTCTCATCAGAAGACTCTCCTATCGCGGTGTTAACTTCCATTGACTGCCTTGACGTCTCTGTGAGATGGTTGCATTTCCATCTTTGTTAAATGTTTATATCATTTTTGCTACAGTATTCTAGTTGATAAGTAAAAATTTACTGATCATCTTGTAGCCTTCACCTTTCTTGTGTAAAGAAATTATTTTCCTTCTCTGGTCTTGTAAAATTTCTCTTCCATGTGGCATGAAAGGGGAATGGATTTTCATGCTGACAGCATGAAAGGGGAAGGGATTTTCTTTAACACCCTTTTATAGTCTGCTGGACACCTGTTTAATGAATAATTAGACTCACCTGTAGCTGAATTCTTGCTAATTAGTATTTTGTTGTCTAAAAGTTAGTTTTGCTCTTAAGACTTTCATTGTGGTGTATTCATTTTTGCAACATGGTCTTGAATGCATTTTAGGAAAAATACTTTTTTGTGTGTGCAAATGAGAAAATCTTGTTTGCAATCAGTGGCCCACATTTGTGGGAGTATTTTGTAGTATAGTGCTATATCCTTATATGCATCAAAACATCCAGAAAATGTGATTATTAAACATTAGTGAATACAATTAATACTTAAAAGTCCTTGATGTGTGATTATATCCGTGCCTCTATAATTTATTCCAAACAGGTGCTCTTTATTGCTTATATCCACATGTATTCTTAACCCCTTGACGCCGACGTAACACAAATATGCGGCCTCACGGACCTGGGCTTTTTTCCGTGGGGCCGCATATTTGCGTACCTGTCTTTGTGTTGGGAGCGCGCCCCTCAGCGCGCTCCCAGCACCGAGACCGCGGTGTCACATAGAGCACCGGGTCCCGTTCTAACGATCGGGACCCGGGACTCCCGGTTCCGGGTCACATGATCGCTGTGATAGCCTCTGATTGGCTATCACAGTGATCAGTCACTGTGCAGCCCGGCCCCCTTGTTTTTTTTTCTCTCTCTCTCTCTATGAATGGAGAAGAGAGATACATTGTATCTCTCGAACTCCTGTCAGAGAGAAGGAAAAAAAAAAGTTTGTAAAAAAAAAAAAAAAAAAAGATAAATAAATAAATATTAAAAAAATAAAATAAAAAATAGAAAAAAAATACCTAGATCAAGGTTTGATCTAGTTCAGTGCCAGGGTTAGTGTTTAGGTCAGGGTCAAGGTCAAAGGTCAGGGTCAAGGTCAAAGGTCAGGGTCAAAAGTCAAGGTCAGGATTTAAAAAAAATTAATATCAGTGTCAGTTAATGTCAGTGTCAGTTAGTGTCAGTGTGTTTTAGGTAAAAAAAAAAAAAAAAAAGACAAAAACAAAATGCGCACTATGGTTTCTGGGCTGTACTAAGGGTACAAACAACAAATAACATACACATATATGGTATCGCTGCGATCGTCAAGAGCTGGAGAATTTATTTTGGGTTTCTCTTTGGTGGTAGGTTATGGTCATAACAAGAAACACATAGCTAAATTAAAATAAAAGGATTTTTTTTTTACTATTTTTGGCCAGTTTTCCTTTGATAATAAAAAAAAAATCAGGAGATATCCATTACCATTTACCACCAAATGAAAGCCCAATTTGTCCTGAAAAAATCAAGGTATAATCCACCTGGATGTGCAAAGTAGTTGTGATGATATGTACGGTTTTGCTATCACATGTCAACGGTGCAGAATTGTGCTTAGGCATTTAGATTTGTTTTACCCTTAGGCGTGAAGGGGTTAAAGGCGTTTCTCCACCAGAGACATACGTATATACTCTCACCTCCTTCTATGACCCAAATTGCATAGGTCAAATACCGCCTTTCCCTTTTTAACCCCGATAGGTATACTGTATGGATGACCCCACTTTCCTCCTCACTCCGCTGCAAACGGTCTTGTCTCTTTATCCCACATATCCTCCACATATGTAAACAGAAATGCTTGCCATAGTGTAGTACTTAAATATAGTGCAATTTATTAAAAAAACAAAGTGCACTCACATTTAAAAGTGTCCTGCTGGGACGCCACAGTAAAAAAAAACTTCTTACAATGTAATTCCAATGTGTTCAGGATCTTCCAAGATGGCGGCTTGTAAACTTCCGGATTAGTGGCTTGATGTCATTGGCCCAACCTATGTTACGTCACGTCACATGACTTCTTCAGGAGTTCTTGGAAATTCCTGAACACGTTGGAATTACATTGTAACAAGGTTTTCTACTGTGGTGTCTCGGCAGGACACTTTTAAATGTGAGTGCACTTTGTTTATTTAATAAATTACAGTATATTTAAGTACTACACTATGGCAAGCGTTTCTGTTTACATATGCGGAGGATATGTGGGATAAAAAGTGCAGCAGAGTGAGGAGGAAAGTAGAGTCATCCATACAGTATACCTACCCAGGTTAAAAGGGAAAGGCAGTATTTGACCTATGCAATTTGGGTCATATAAGTAGGTGAGAGTATATATGTATGTCTCTGGTGGAGGAGCACCTTTAAGAATGCATGTGGATATAAGCAATAAAGAGCACCTGTTTGGGAATAAATTATAGAGGCACCGATATAATCACACATCAAGGACTTTTAAGTTGTATTTATTGTATTCACTAATATTTAATAATCACTTGGTCTGGATGTTTTGATGCATATAGACATGTATGCACGGCACTAACAAATTATATATACCTATTTGTCTGTGGAAACTCATGTAAGTGTCAGCAGCACTGGTATACAAAGGAGATTAAGGAATTGCTTGTTGCGCTGAAGTTTTATTTTATACACATTTTTGTAGTATAGTGTCCCTTAGAGAATGTTGATTGTGAAAGTAAAGGTTTTCTGACAAATCTGTTGGGTTGTACTCATTTATGGTGAGCTGTCTTTATCCCCTGATAGTTTAAAAGTTTGGTTACTTTTTCACAGGGGTTTGGTTCTTCTTAACCGGCAACAAATATCTTATATTGAGACTCATTCATCCAGAAATCTGAAGAGATCAAGTGCTTTGAAAATTGCAGTAGATTTTCACCAAGGTAGGTTGACTTACAACAAGCTTTAATATTGTAACGTTTTGGATACATTTTCTTTCCTTGTGGAACACGCTAACATTTTAATTTTGATTAATTTTATGGATATAGATCCAGCTGTTCACCATGACCTTCCTCATCCAGTGGTTGCCCATCTTGTTGCATTTTTTGACCTTTGGGACATGCTTGTCTTTGAGTGCCTTCAGTCCAACCATACTCCGCTATCAAATGAAGCTACAAATGAGGTGAGATTTTGCTCATAGTCCAAAATTCTGGCTTCTGCTTTGTCTGTTTCTCCTAATAGTTTAAATAATCATAAGTTCAGTACATGGTTGGGGAATAACAAGTTTTTAGTGTCCTACAGTAATCCAAGGATATTATGTAGACACAAACGCAAGTTAGCTCCATAAGGCTCACCCAACTTTCTATGGGAGAACTTTCTATGGGAGAAATATACTAGCCATATTGATTTCTGTCAGGCTCTACTTGTTGTTTTCTTCAATCAAAAAATGCTGTAGGCAATAGTTATGTTTCATAGTATTTCACTTGACTGTATTTTGAACTTTGAGCAAACCCCTTTTATTTGGTTTTCCCTGTGTTTATTTAACGGAGATATCTTAAGTAACCCAAACTAGAACTGTACCACCTTGCATGCTGATCAGGGAAAAACTAAATATGTAACCATCACAATCCCTCAAAGAAGGAGTCGACTGCACTGCTCATGTAGAGCATACTGTATATAATTACTTACATTCAACAATAAGCGAGAACCTGTAACACCCTACCTCATAAAACCCATGTTACTCCTGAAGGAGTATTGCTGAGGCTGCCCCTAAAGGCATGCTCATATAACACCACTCCCTCAGCTAGACAGTGTTTTTTTGCTAGTCTTTAGTAATGGTATCTTGTCCTCTGCTCTGTAGAAGGCACACCCCTCCTTCTTTTTTTTTTTTTTTTTTTTTTTTTGTCTTAAGAATTCCTTTTTCCTTCACATGCTTCAAGATCTGACTGGTTATTACTTGTGTCTTCCTAGCAGTTTGTCTCTGTAACCCTTGGTTTCTACCTTAAGCCACAGTACCTGAACTCTGTTGTGTTTGAGGCTAGCCTGTAATGTGTGCTTCAGACACTGGATCCAACATTAGGCACTCACCTTTTCATTGAGTGTAATTGGCTGCAGGGTACTATACTGGTCAAAGGCTGTGGTCAATCCTCCTTATGGTTCCCAGACTCTGAAGACCCTTTTGGGTGTATGCCCACCATGACCGGAGAAGCCTGAACGGCTTAGCAACATGAGACAGGGTTTCCCTGTGCTATGGACTGTTTCGTAACCATACCCAAACCGTAGTGCTTGGCACAAAAACAGAGGCTATGTTCAGGAATGGGAAGGGGTTCACTTTGTTGTTTTAATCCTTTTGATATTTGTGCCTATTACCATTCATAATTGGCTGTCTTTACCTTTCAGACCTTGTTTCATGATGGTGATGTAGTTGTAACTTGCCTGTAAAAGACATCTCACATGTATGCCCCTTGGTGGAGTTCTATTTTGTGGGGCTCTTGACAGTTTTTAAGATTACAGGTGGAAATGTTCTTCAATAGAAGAATTTTCAAATTTCCCTCTTCAGGAGTCTTTCGTTATCTCCTCAAAATGCAGAGCTGCTCAGCGCTCGTCCCACTTCCAAGCCCTATTCATCCCTTCCTTATGTCCTTTCCTTGTAACTTAAGACTTGGCCCACAAGCCAACCAAGTCTTCCCCAAAACCCTCTTCCCAACTATTGGGCTCTTAGCAGTAGGAAGACATCTGTTTACAGTTTGCCCCTCTCTGGGCTACAGGCATCCCAGACCTGTGAGTTGCATCTGTAGTTTGAAAGGAATTCAAAAACTTTGCCCCCAAATTTATTTCTTTGAAATCATCAAAAAATCTGCCCAAGGACAGTCAGATTTGCAGAATGTCCTGAACCATCTCTTGTCCCAGGGAGTAGTTCCAGTACCTGTAGGAAAGGTAAAGTCTTCTACTCAAACCTGCTCACAGTACCAAAAATTAACAGGGGTATTTGTCCTATCCGGGACCTAAAATCTCTGAACAAATACCTCCAGATTCCACAATTTTGACTGGAACCTGCAAGGTCTTTGCTTACTTTTCTGAGACCAGGGGAGTAATTAAGACTATCTTCATATTCCTGTTTATTCTCCCCATCAGCACTTTCTATGTTTTACAGTAGAAGACAATCGATTCCAGTTTGTTGCACTGCCCTTTTGTTTATCCTCTGCTTCCATTATTCTGTATTCACAAAGGTACTTTAAGCTACTTCAGTCCCTTCTCAGATCTTTAATATCCAGGTGATAGGCTATCTAGACAAACTGCTTTTGAAGAACTTGTTTTCCTTACAATTGACTGCAATAATCTGCAAAAGACCATTCAGATGCTTTAGGTTGGGTGACCAATTTTTAAAAAAAATATGCTCACAAACCCTTTTTGCTTCTAGAATATCTGGGCTTGATTCTAGCTGCAGCCTAAGCAAGAGTCTTCCTTCCAGAGAACAAACTGCTTTCCTTTTAGATCTCAAGATTGGATCTTTATGTCAAAGATGCCCTTCTGTGAGATCTTCCATGAAAGTTTTGGGCATCATAGTCCCAGGCGGCATCCTTTCAAGACTTTTCTGGTTACCCAATATCATTCCAGACCTCGCCATCAAAATATTCTGTTGGTGTGGAATCTCTTGATCTAGGCCAGGAACTCCTTAGCCTGGTGGACTTCCAACCCGGGCCCTGACAGTGGAGAAATTGTTTCTGCCGTATCACTCGAAAATTAATAATGACAGATGCCAGTCTTTTGGGTTGGGACAGTTTTTTCCCAAGGATCATGGTCACCAAAAAGCCAAACTCTTCAACAACATTCTGGGGCTCAGAACAATAAGGATGGCTCTGCAACACTGGACCCTTCTGCCAGGACACCCAGTCAGAGTGCAGTCGGACAGTGGCCATGGCTGTGGTCTGCATCAATTACCAAGTGGAATCGTGCAGCCTTAAAGGAAGCAAGCAAATAATATCAGACAGAGAAGCCTTGCCCAGTGATCTCTGCTGTTCACATCCCAGTGGGGTACAACTGGACTGTGAATTACCTCAGCTGTCATCACCTGGACCAATAGGAATAAGCCTTTCACCCCCATATCTTCAGCCTCTAATGTAAGACCTGGGGCCTTCGAACATAGGCATCCTGACTTTTGTTTGGCACTGGCATTGGATGCTCTGGTAATTCCCTGGACTCCGTTCAGGCTAATATATGCCTTTCCTTCAGCACACAATGTCCCCCCTACTGCTCTGCAAAATACAGCAAGAGAAGAAACCAATGATTCTCACTGCACCAAACTGTCCTAGTAGAACCTGATACACAGACCTACTCAGTCTGCTAGGAGACGACCCTTGGTCTTTTTCCAACAGGTCAGACCTTCTGTCTCAAGGCCCTCTACTCCATCCTGTTTCTCATTCTCCAGCTTATTTTTGTACACATTGTTTATGTAAGAGAAGCGCCAATATCCATTACATTTCACAGCATACAACAGGGGATCTGGTTGTCAATATAAAGTGATAATATACAGGTGCATCTCAATAAATTAGAATATCATCAAAAAGTTAATTTATTTCAGTAATTCAATTCAAAAAGTGAAAATCCTATATTATAGATTCATTGCACACAGAGTGATATATTTCAAGCATTTATCTTTTAATTTTGATGATTATGGCTTGCAGCTACTGAAAGTCCAAAATTAAGTATCTCAGAAATTTAGAATATTACCTAAGACCAATTAAAAAAAAAAAAAAAAAAAAGAGATTTTTAATACAGAAATGTTGGAATACTAAAAAGTATGTCCATGTATGTGTATCAAAATTTGGTTGGTTCTAAGGCCTGGAGAGGGAGGAGCCTGAACATGGTGCCGAGAGGGAGCTCAGTGTGAGCGTTCCTGGATGGTAGACCCTTCCTGTGACCTGTTAGAAATGCTTGGGAGGTGGTAACTTACCTGGCTTGGTGTCGTCCCTCTGTGGAGGCCTGATGGGGAGAGCGGTACCCCCTGTACGGCTGGCCAGCGGTGGCGAGTGACAGTGCTGGAGAGGGAGAGTGAGGGGCCGGTCGGTCAGAGAGGATGCGGACTCTGCTGGAGTTCAGAGGATGCCTGGTGGTCACTTGGCCGCTGCAGAGGAGCACTGGGAGGCAGAGACGCTGGCTGGGCTGACACAGAGGAAGGGATACAGGCGCATCCACCAGCGGCCTGTTACTGCCCCAGACTCGAGGTACCCCACGGAGGGGCGACCCCCCCCCCCCCCCCCCCTGATTAGCCACCACCTCAGAGGTGGACTTTGATTGAGACACTGTGTCAGCAGTTCCTGGGAGAGACCATCCGTAGCCGCCTTAGTTAGTGAGATGGAACTGAATAGATGTATGAGCGTGACAGACGGTGAGTCAAAAATCCACTTGCACTGTGTAAAGATCATTCGGGGGGATCACCCAGGAGGCCCAGATGGAGAAGAACATGAAAGAGAGACACAAGTGGAATAAAGACTCCAGAGACACCTTGAGAGGAAATTGGTACAGGGGGGAAGGAAGGGAAGGAAAAGACTTGAGAGGGACTACCCCTGGAGGGATACAACCCTAATTTACACGCAGAAGTAACCCCTGGTCCCGGGAAAAATAGAGAAACTCATTTACAGTATGAAAAGTAAAGCTGCAAAGGGGGGAGGGCCTAAGTCATCCCAATTAAGTTCAATTAAAAAATATATACCCTCACAAGAGAAACAAACCCAGAAAGACAACATGGAGTAAGATAGTGAGATATACTGTAGAAAATGCGTTGGTTGCTGAGAGTCCTGAAGAGCACAAGAAGACATCACAGATGCCTACAAAAGCCGAAATAGCAGAAATGTTTAAGGGTCTGGAAAGATCCATAAAACAGGAGATGGTGAAAATACACAAAGAGCTGCGGCAAGTATTATCAAGGGTGGAGGAGACAGAGGAGAAATTAGATAAACATGCCCAAGTAATAACAAAATTAGAAAAACAGATGGAAGAAATGAGAAAAGAACAAGGGAAATATGCTATACAAACTGGAAGATGAGTGTAGAGATGGAAGGTGCAACTTGAGGATACGGGGTGTGCCCGAGACTTCACAACGGGAGGACTTGATGGAAATAATGGTAAAAATGAATAATACAATAACCGACAGATCGGCAACAGAGCCTTTGAAGATCGATA